TGCTTTATCTCAGTAACAAGGCGCGTCCTGACATTTCTTTTGCTGTCAGCTACGCAAGTCGTCACATGGAGAAGCCTGAGAAAATTGATATCGATATCATAAAACGAATACTGAGATACTTAAGGGGCACCACTGGGGATGGTGTCATGTTTGAACGGTCAACCGAATCTGAGTTAACTTTATCAGCATTCTGCGACGCCAGCTACGCTGACGATTTAATCACCCGGCGAAGCACCTCGGGATATATGGTACTTTTGAACGACAACCCAGTCAGCTGGGCATCCCGAAGGCAACCAATAGTTGCCACGTCAACCACAGAGAGTGAGTATATTGCGTTGGCGGATACTTTGAAAAATCTATTGTTTTTAAAATCCTTCATAGAAGAATTGACGGACAAACTAGTTCGATGCATTTTGAAAGAAGATAACCAAGGGACTATAAGAGTTGTAAAAAAGGGTCAATTCAATAGACGATCCAAGCACATAGATGTCCGTTACCATTACGTGCATGAGAAATTTTCGGAGGGTTTTTTCAAAATTCAATACTGTTCATCGAGCGAACAACTTGCCGATATGCTCACCAAACCCCTCCCGAAACTAAAATTCATATCACTCAGAGATAGGGTTGTGAAATAATTTCTGAAATAATTCTATTTACCATGCTTTTCATTATTTCTTTTTTTCAGTGTATTTTTCAAACACTCTCTGAAATCCTCATATAATTCTATGTTTTCTTTTCTATGTTTACACAACACTATTAAAAATTTATTTACTTGTAATAACATTAAGTTTCTTTTTGTAACGATGAGGAGTAGAGTTCTTCCGTAAGAAGGACACATAGGTTTTAATGTAGTACCCATACTATACTAAGCGTTTTTATTAGAGAAATGTCAAGATTAAGGGGGAGTGTTGAACCCTGTAATTAATCATAATCTTGACAACGTCGCTTTATGGCGACTCATACTGCGAGTCCTATTTCAATGTTGATAAGCACCTGCGTATAGCAGCCCCTTCCCCTTATTAGCTAGTTCGCCAACACATCTCGTCGGACCACGTCCTCTGTTTTCTTTCAGTAAAATATGTAATTCATATTCCAATAATGACTGCTCTAAAATATACCCAAAACACCTATCCTCATTATCGCTATCCGCATTTCCGTCCAAGGGAAGCCCTCGTCCCTTGACCACATTGAAAGGAGAAATTCCAATTATCTTGCGCACCTCCACTAGGGTGCGGCTCATTCGGGGAAAGTCTGAACTGTTATGACGACACATCTTCAATCGGTTCCATTAAATGAAAAAATATACCAAAAAAAAGTTCGACTCAAAATTTGAAAATTTAGAGGTCGCTCAGAGGCCTGAAAGTTTACGATTTTGGCCAAATTTCGTTAAATTTCCTCGAAGTTGATGAATCTTCAGGACAATAAACAAGAGAAAAAGTTACCATTTCTTTCATCCATCATGGTACATTAACCTCCAATTTGACTTTCCACTCTCTATGATCCTTCGGGTCACGAAAATGACCTCGGTAGGAACCCGCAAAAGCCGTCTATCGTGCGCTCTTAGCGGGAGTTGGTAGTCACGGCGCACATCAGTTCCAGAGCCCGATTCAGGCGGCATTAATTATAGTATTTCCTTTATTGGTGGTATATGTTTGCAGGTGTTTTTTGGGTCGCTGATCACGAATTTAAAGTCAATTTTACCCTATCTTTGACTTCAGTATGGTAAAACGGACAATGGAAAATTCACACTCTATACTGGTTTTATAATTTACCTATTTGCCTCAGGGCTTGAAAATGAGTCAGTTTAGTCATTTTTTTTTTTTTTTTATTGTGTCATTCGAAAGTAGTAAGTGACCGAAGCTTACAGTTTTTTTCCTAAATTTTTTTGATGACTGCAAACGGGAGAAAAGTTTATTCGAAAGTGGCAAAAATCAGGGAGGCCTGAAACGGCGTTTGAACTGCGCGCTCGTAGGTTTCGCATGTACACGTCACGATCAATATGGCGACGGAATGCGTAGTGGAATAATGCACGGCGGCGTCGCGTTGGCGGTATGTTTTTGTTGGTCAATTGGAGGTTATGTAAGTTACTTTGTTTGAGATTCATATCCATTGTTCTTAATTCTCTAAGCTTTTCAATCAGAATGCGATACAGATGTATGTAGGATATGAAACATTCACACAGAACTTAATTAACCTCAAATGAAAAATCGTGATGTCAACATCGGCAGCGTGGCGGTAGAAAGCAGGTCGGTTTCGGCGCCGCCATCTTCCCGTCTATGACGCGTATGGATTCGAAGACTCACGGCGATCAGTTCAAACACGTTTTCGAGGACCCCTAAAAAGGAAGCGTTATATCTCCGCGAAGACAATTTTTCGTGAAATTTCAACATGCGCATCATTCTTCTCATACCAAAAACTGTAAGATTCGACTATTTGCAGGCAAATCCCTCCCGAGCTGAACTGACTCATTATAATTTTGATGAATTTAATGATTAATCATTAAGAACGATCAATGATTTTACTAATATTAATTTTCTGATGATTATTTTTTGGGGGGGGGGATGGTGGAAGGGAGGGATGTTGCAACGTTGAATTGCTTCACGAAGTATACCTATTAACACGATCTGGTTTCAAAATCTGGAGATCCAAAATCGGTACTCGAGAAATACAGAAGTGATACGCTGAGGAGCACACTTGACATCTCGCTTCTCTGTGAATATGAAAAAATAATTTTTCATAGATTTTTCATCGATCCAAAGGCTTCTCAAATCCTCAGTATCGTAGCGATGATCGTTTTTTACCCTGCCCATAATTCCTTACAAGCCTATAGACTTAGCACAATACCCAATATTCCTCAGGGAATTTCACGAATATGGCACAAAATAAATATGATTCGCCACTTTGCACGCATGCTGACCTATTAGTAGTTAGTACTAACGCTACACTTGATTTTAGGACAAAAATCTGCAGCCCATATTTGCTCCCCTGAGAGTTCGAACCAAATATGTAATTGTGTGAATATAAAGAATGAGATCATCATTGCCTGCAAGATTATTTACCTTCTCTCGTAGCCATTGATAATTTTTCTTTCAGTATCATTGTTTGTCGCCTATTTTGATCGCTCAGTGTGTTCATGATGTTAATATACATATCAAGTTAATTAGAAATTTTGCTATTGTACTTTTTGATTTATATTAATTTTGAATTTAAATATCTTTGTTGAATTTTAGGCAAAATCTGACTTTTGCGCTTGTTCATTGTTCATGGGTACTTACTAAAAATAAATTACAAAATACATGACAACATTTTAGAATTAACGTTGTTCTTGAATTAAAAAATCAACGGGCGCTGAAGTTGAATGCCTTTTCCCCTCTATACTCAATGGTCGAAATGGTATACCAAAAAAAAAGTTTGTATAGTAACATCTGGGATCTTACCACAGCATATTTTTTCGGTGTATGATTAGGACGTCACCGTCACCCTTTCATCTTATTTTTCCTCGGGCACTTCTTGAAATGCGCAACATACCAAGAGTAGATTTTGAAACCAGATCGTGTTAATTGGTATACTTCGTGCAGCAATTCAACGTTGCAACATCCCCCCTTCCTCCCTCCCCCGAAAAAAAATAATCATCGGAAAATTAATATTAATAAAATGATTGATCGTTCTTAATGATTAATCATTAAATTTATCAAAAGTATAATTTTCAGAGCCAAGTAGTTAAATTATAAATCCAGTATGGAGTGTGAATTTTCCATCGTCCGCAAATTTACCATACTACAGTTAACGATAGGGTAAAATCGACTTTAAAATCGTGTTCAGCGACCCGAAAAGCACCTATGCACATATGTTGCACACCAATAAAGGTAATACTCTAATTAATGCCGCCTGGATCGGGCCCTGGAACCGATGTGCCCCGTGACTCCAAATTCCGGCTAAGAGCGCGCGACAGACGGCTTTTGCGGGTTCCTACCCAGGTCATTTTCGTGACCCGAGTGATCGTAGACAGTGGAAATTTGTCAAATTGGAGTTTAATGTACCATGACGGATGGAAACAATGCTAACTTTTTCTCTTGTTTATTGTCCCGAAGATTCATCAACATCGAGGAAATTTTACGAAATTTGGCCAAAATCGTAAACTTTCAGGCCTTTGAGCGACCTCTAAATTTTCGAATTTTGAGCTGAAATTTTTTTGGTATGTTTTTTTCATGTAAAGGAACCGATTGAAGATGTGTCGTCATTACATTTCAGACTTCCCCCAAATAAGCCGCACCCTAACCTCCACCCACGAGTTCGAAGTAAAAAATATCGGAAACTACATAAACGCTGCGGAAAGCCTTCGGCCACCCTAACACCAAATGCCGCTAACCGCAAACGTGAGCAGGGAAACCTAAAATGTAAAGAAAGAGGCAGGTCCAACTCTTCCTGAAGGGTTCCTCAACTGCTCCCAGGGGCCAAGTTTCCTAAAACACCGATCTCATCGTGATTAGTGAAATCCAGTGGCGTGGCGTGCTTTGCGATATTTCGAATGATCTGCTATTTAAACTTACGGGAAAGGATCGATAAACAGGGTGTTCGCAGCGAACACCTTAATAATCGATTCTTTACTATAGGTCTAAATTACATATCAATCCATGTATCGCAATTCACGCCACAACGCCACGCCACTGGATCAGTAAAGGCATCTAGTGATGAACTATTGAAATTTATTTTGTCTTAGTAAAAAGGAACAATTACTGCTGTTCATTTTTGTAAAGCCTCTGAAAACAAACTTCATTCCTCTAAAAAGATTAACTTTACCATGACCTCAACAAGACAAATATCCTTTTCCAAATGTTTCTCATTTTTAGGACAGTACGTAGGTGTTTGTACGCTCTTGACATAGTATGAGGAGTTACACTCTCATTTTTCATCTCCTCGAAACTAAAACCAATGATGTGTAAAACTGCTATAAAAACTTTTTTCATCCAACTGATCATAGATGTTTTGGTTCTTTTCAGAAACTGGAATAATTCATTTAAACTCTGGCATCTACGAAACTGGTATGAAGTTAAAATAGTCCACTCAACCTGAAGGAAGCATTCTTCTCGTTTTCTCCACTACTCTCTACAATTGTACGATGAGCTGAATTGATGTTTGCGCTTGATGGAATAGATATCAGAACCTTAGTGTATTTTAAATTTTGTTATTTTTTCTTGTTATTAAGTAGAAGGCTAATAAAAAATAGAAAACTTCTCATTGTAAAAGAAGCAGTAATTAATTAAACAGGAGAGTTGGGATGGTTGAGACTTTTGAGTTTGATTGGTTTCGGTTATAACAACTGAATTTGTTTGCAACAATGGGTATGTTGCACCTATTTTTTAAAAATTCATTTTCTAGTAGTGTGCATCATTCTGAGCATAATGAACTTCTCACGGAATTTTTTGACCCCTTAAACACCCTCCAAAGAGCCCCTTAAAGTTCAAAAACTTTTGGCGGGAAAATTTAAAACCAAGAATGGCGGGAAAGTATAGCCGTTGTGTGACGTCACTACTTTTACTCGACGTTCGTTTATTTTACAAGTTCATGAATTCCCCCGTGACGAATAGAGGCAAATTTACAAATGGATTTCTCAGACAGTTGGAGGCCGTATTCATCAAACGTCCTTGAGATAATAAGCTCTTTATACTCTCTAGTTGATAAGAACATCACTAGAAACTTACAAATCGCATCAGGACATATAATTATCTCCGATGTATCAAAGCCAGATCAAAGCATGTCACGATAGTGAGGTTATGTTTACAATCTTATCTGGTATACATATAAGTCCTATTTCCATAGTAAAACTCTCGTCTGCAGGCCGATTATTGAAATTTAGTGTTTGTCAGGAGGACATAGATGACATGGGTTAAATGGCGAGGCGTGATTGGTCAGCTACGTCTTATCGCTGCTTTGTCATGCCTTTGTCAGGTGGAATGGACGACACACTGTCAGAAACTTAAGAGGTGCCGATAGCTTGTCCTGAGTTCAACCCGACATAGGCACGACAAAGCAGCGATAAGACATAGCCGACCAATTACGCTCAACCTTTTAACCTATGTCATCTATGTCCGCCTGACAAACACAGAATGTCAATAATCGGCCCGCAGATGCAGTTTTAGTTTCTTTATTACCAGAAATTATCCGTCGTAGCATAATGTAGCTCTCAGCATCTAATTTGCTGGATATTGGATCCTTACATTCTATTTTTTTGCATAAAATGTGTCTCGCTCAGCTGCGATAGCCGAGTGATCACTATAATCTCATTTGAACATTTTTACTCGTTTAAATCTGTCTGCTCATAAGTAAATTTGCTGAAAAGGCGATCAATTTTATATTGGGTAAAACTCTCCGCCAACCTCCTCATATTTTCATGTTAGAATTTGTTGAACAAATCTCCGTGAAACTTTCATCACCGAAGTAAGAGCCTAATAGACTACCAATGCTGTCTAATTTTTTCTTTACTTTCATTTTTTTAATTTATTCATTTTCATTTTATTTTACATTTTCTTCTGTTTCCGATTTTTATCGTTGCGTCTTTCTCTTTCAGCTTCTAATCAATATTTGTTTTATTTTTCCCCTAAAAAAAATACGGTATGAGGTATATTTTACTTTTTAGAACGAAATAATTTTTCTTTCCGATAAAATAGAAGAGAAAATTTGAAGTCAAAAGGATGCGTTTCGCATTGATTGATTAAAGAATCAGTGCAGTAAAACAGCGTAACATGTTTAAGAGGCCGAAATATATAGATTTTAATGTATTAATGTACTCCACGCCGGCCATCCCGAGTCTTAGATTTCGTTCGTACGAAAACGTAAAACATACCTCATATCGTATTTTTTAGGGGAAAAATAAAACCAACATTGATAATAAGCTAAAAGAGGAAGATGCAACAATAAAAATCGGAAACGTAAGAAAATGTAAAAAAATATAAATGAATAAATAGATAAAAATGAAAAGAAAGATAAATTAGAAGGCATTGACAGTCTATCAGGCTCCTACTACTTCGGTCATGAAAGTTTCGCCGAGACTTGTTAAACAAATTTGATCATGAAAATATGAATTCCATTAACGCCTCGGCTAAAAAAAAGGCCAGTTGCGTATGCACTCAGAGAGAATAAAACAATAACATCAGAGAAATTCATATGTAATGAAAGTATAAGAAGGAAACAGAAGTGGGCTCATAGCAGTGGCGTGCGGTGGGTTTAGTGACAAGGCAAGCTCTAGCGTTCGCCATGGGGAGGGGAGGGGGTTAACGTAGCCTCTTTTTCCTCCTTAGGGAGCCACCCTAGAAAATTGTTCAAATTTAGATCCTCGCGACCCTCTATTTACTCTGTTTTTTGATGAAATCTGATGGAACGTCCTGAAAAAGTGTGGTTTTTTTTCTTTCTCTCTTACTTATAATTACGTTCACTCAACTTATTCCGAATGTTATCGAGCATTGGAGGATCGCTATACGCTCTTAACTCCCGATTTTGCCACTTATTTGAAGTATTTCTAGTCTTTACTCTACTGCGTTTAGAAATTTTTGAGTTAGTCAAGTTACAAAACATCCTTTGTGCGTTTAAAACATGATTAAGAATTGTCTCATACATCACCAATTAGATCCAAGTGAGCGACATATCATAGAGATGGAGGGCACTTGCTCCAGAGGGAGCAATCGCAACCGAGACAGAGAGGGAACAAGATAGCGCATCTGAGGAAAAACCGGCAAACGCAGCGCGCTGCAATGAGGGGCCAAGAGAAGCGAGCTGTGATCGCGCAGCGAAGCGCTCGGACTCGGAACGTACCGCTCTCCCCGCCCGCCATGATTCTGCCTCCTGCCGCAATCACACGGTAAATGTGGGAGCTGAATGTGGCTCGAATGTCATCGGCCCGATGCCTGAATTTTGCGCGTCACGCGCGAAATTTAGCAACGATTCTCAGCAACCATCGGCTAATGTCGGATTTGTCTGAACTGTTTGAATAGATTTAATACACATTTGGATGAAAATAACTCGAATTAGTGAAATTTCAGCCGTTGAGCGCTAACAGTTGACTGCCACATTCAACTGCCAAATTCAGCGTGTGATTGCCGCATCCGAGCAGTGGCTCTCCTATAAGCCCATCGCAAGCGATTCTCCAGAGCATGAGTTGGCCCGTGTTCAGGCCGCGCTGCGCCACCTCCATCCGCTCTACCGCTTCCCCACTTTTGTGGCTCTATACGTACATATGTCCGTCTCTCTTTCTGTTTTTAATGCGATTTACTTACTACACACCTTTTATCAATAATATTTGCTAAAATTTAAAACATGTAATGGGTGTGATTCGTCTGGGTGGTCTTTCTTCTGAAATGTTTGGGCAAGTAGTGCTTGCCTTGTTTATCTGGACCGCACGCCATTGACAAGAATCCAAAAATTTGAAGAGCAATTATGAAGAGACAAAGTTCGCTCACATGTGCAGCCAAGGGTCTAGCACCAGCATTTTCGACGCGGCGAGCTCTCTGTACTTCTGAGTATACAGGGTGTCTCACGAAAAAGGAGCCACCTGGAATATCTGGCGAACGGGTTGGAATTTCGAAAAACGGTAAAAGACGTGTTCGTTAATATCGTGGGGGGCCCCTTTTGACGTATTTTAAATTTTCCCAAACCAATTTTTCCCCATTTCCGGGGTTTTTCCATTTTCCCGTAAATCGAAATTTTCAAATGGCACCCCTATTTTTTTATTTCAGAAATCGATTCTACGCAAAAAAACAAGCCACACTCTTCAAACCGCATGTAAATCGGTCAATTTTTCAGCGATTGGCAGAGGTTGAAACATTTTTCTAATGCTCCTTTCAAAAAATCCCCACGCCGAATGGGATTGCCGTATCAAACCTAACTCTTCGCCAAAAAAAAAAATCTTTAACAGTGCCCTCTCGATAAAAATATAAAAAAATCTGCTGCACTCGAAAACTGGAGCACGCGGAGCTCTTTTCTTCGATATTAAGATGCGTTTTACCGAACATTTCCGAGGGGCGCTCATCGGGAGGAAGTAGTAAGTTTTGGACACGAATCAGCATTCTTTTTTCTGAAGCATAAAAAACCTGAAACCATGTCCATGGAGAAACGGCTAAATAGAAAAATAAATAGATTACCTTTTTTTCAGGTGGGTGTCAATGATTTGAGCCGCACATGCTGTTTTTATGAACGTTTAAATTCAGTTGTAACTCATCAGAACATTTATTTTCAAGAAAGGGGAAGTTTAAACTTTCCATTTATTCTTCATTTATCATTCAAAACTAACTCCAGAAAATTGCCACGAACCGCGGAAAAATAGCGTCCTTAAATAAAAACATCGAAGTCCAGTTCAAACCATTAAAACCCACCTGAAAAGAGGTAATCCATTTATTTTTGTATTTAGCTGTTCCTCCATGGACATGGTTTCCTATGCTTCAGAAAAAAGAATACTGATTCGTGTCCTAAACTTACTACTTCCTCTCGGTTAGGGGCCCTTGGAAATGTTCAGTATAACGCATCTTAATGTCGAAGAAAAGAGCTCCGCGTGCTCCAGTTTTCGAGTGCAGCAGATTTTTTTACTTTTTTATCGAGAGGGCACTGTTAAAGATTATTTTTGGCGGAGAGTTTGGTTTGATACGGCAATCCCATTCGGCGTGGGGATTTTTTGAAAGGAGCATTAGAAAAATATTTCAACCTCTGCCAATCGCTGAAAAATTGTCCGATTGACATGCGGTTTGGACAGTGTGGTTTGTTTTTTTGCGTAGAATCGATTTCTGAAATAAAAAAATAGGGGTGCCACTTGGAAATTTCGATTTATGGGAGGGGCACCCCGCGCTCCTCCCGTGGTTTGGGAAAATTTAAAATACGTCAACAGGTGTCCCCACGATGTTAACGAACACGTCTTTTACCGTTTTTCGAAATTCCAACCCGTTCGCCAGATATTCCTGGTGGCTCCTTTTTCGTGGGACACCCTGTATAATATAGACAGGTGAATCGATTATAATTCATAATATGAGGCAAAAGGGGGGGGGAGTTCCAAGATTTTAATTTTTTATTAAAATAAAGTAGAGTTTCGGAACTTTCTGTCAACCCGTTCATCTCCAATCGCATTATTAGTCCAGTCAATCTAGCATTTTTCTGGGAAAATCTATGTATAGAAGGTTTTTTTTCGGAAACATGTTGCATTAGGCTACCAGAACAACATAACAAAAGTTTACCGAAATTGGCCGTCCGCTAAGGCCGCCATCTTGGAAAAAAGGGGGCGGGGGGCCAAAATACGCCGCCGGCGA